GACCCGCAGCCCCTGCTACCCCAGCCCTGGGCTCCCCCTCCCACCACAGCTCTGCCGGTGCCCCTCACTCCCGACCCGCAGCCCCTGCTAGCCCAGCCCTGGGCTCCCCGCGAGCTGACAGTGTCCCTGCCTGGAGCCCCCCTTGCACACTCAGTTCCGAGGCGCAGCGCCCCCCGCCCTCGGGGACTCACCAGGATGTCACTCAGCATTTCGTACTCAAAGACCTCACTCTCGTACTGCTCGGCCAGCTCCTTGCAGATGTGAATCGCCTCCTCCCACATCTGCTGGGAGACGGGAGGTAGAGTCAGGAGCTCTGCACGGGAGCATTTCTCACAGAGCTCTGCTCTGGGCATTGCCTCCGGCACCCACTGATCCGCTGCTGGGGGGAGCAGGGTCAATGCCCGGGCAGGTTCTGCCCCCGCTCTGCCAGGCCAGTGCCGTGGGAGGCAGGACCAGCCCTGGGAGAGGGTGTGATGAGCCCCTCTGGAGAGGCCAGGCCCAGGCTGTGGGGCAGAGTGTGGCATGACGGGTCGGGCCTCCCTGCCACAGGGATGGGGCCTGGCTGCGGGTGGCAGCCGCCTGGCCGCAGTGGGGGCAGCTGGGCCTAGACAGGCCTGGAATGACCTCGCGGTGCGGCTTGTCCCAGGGCAGGGCTGCGGCTGGACTGCGCCCACTAGAGCCATAGGCTGGCAGCTGCTGCAGTCTCACCAGCGTCCTGCAGGAGGCGCTCCCGCACCAGGGCTGAGCTGTGACCCAGCTCGCCTGAGGGGCTGCCCATGTTCTGGGAGGCCTGGCCAGGGGGGCAGTGCCCAGACCCCCAGGGGATGAGGGGAACTGGCGAAACTATCAGAGCTCCTGGGGCCAGTGCTGGAGAGGGAGCACGGGGAGCAGGGTACAGCCTGTGGAGAAGGGGATATGACCATGGGGAAAGGGGTACGGGCCATGGGGAGAGGGGTACAGCCTGTGGAGAAGGGGATATGGCCATGGGGAAAGGGGTACGGGCCATGGGGAGCGGGGTACAGCCTGTGGAGAAGGGGATACGGCC